AAAAATCGGGGAAAAAAATAATGTTGAATTGACAAAAGCATGGGGGAAAATTTGGAAAGATATAAATTTATAATGGGATAAGTAATAGTAGGGGCAAGGTGAGAGAATAAGAAAAAGGTTTTGTATATAAGAGATGAGAGAATTGAACCGCTCAGCAGATGCCTTCCCACGTTTTTTCGCCGAGACATGTGCCCGGCGTGCAAAAAGGGTTGAGAAATTTCAGTTGGCCGGCGAAAAAAAATGTGCTTCACGACACGAGATTCCGATGCCTAAGCCTCGTCGAACCTCGAGTTTATATTGTTCAAAGGGGTGAATTTGATTAGAGGGTTTTATAGCCGTCTTTTCCGATTTTTTTTTTGCTTTTCTTCTTTTTGTTCTTATTCATCTTCTTTTTGTTCTTCTTTCCTATTTTTTTTCTTCTTTTTTTCTTGATCTCCTTCTTCTTATTGTTCTTCTTCTTTTTCTTGTCCTCCTTCTTATTCTTCTTCTTGTTCTTCTTTTTCTTCTTCTTCTTTTTCTTCTTCTCCTTCTTATTCTACTTTTTCTTCTTCTTTTTCTTGTTCTCCTTCTTGTTCTTCTTTTTCTTGTTCTCCTTCTTATTCTTCTTCTTGTTCTTCTTTTTTTTTGTTTTTTTCTCTTTTTTTCTTTTTCTTCTGGTTTTTCTCCCTCTTTCTCTTCTTATTGTCAATTTTCACAGCCTCCTCTCTTCTCAATTATTTAACACCACGTGTCGTCAGGACCAGTTTCAGGAACAATACCCTCTCCAGGTAATGATACCAATGCTCTCTCACCCCTAATATTTTGTTTACACTTCACGATCTGCTATTTTTTATTTTTGTCTTATTTTCAAATTTACATTTATTTTCCACTATTCTGCGTATTTTCTATTCAAATCGCCAAATTTCGAATTCGACTTTTGCCATCAGGGTTTTTAAATTTAAAAAGAGGACATAAAAATTTGTAAAAATTAAAATTATTAATTTTTTAAAATTGTAAAACGGTGAAGAATTTACTTTTTAGTATATTTTTAACGAATTGAACATTTTTGACAATTAAAAATTAATTGCATTCAAAATTAATTAAAATTGTGAAACTTGCTTAAATTTCAGTTTTGTTATACACTTATCGCGACTTAATGAATTTAAAAATATAATTTTTGTAAAATTTAAACAAAAATTTACAAAAAAAATTTTTTTCTTGATATGCAACTATTAATTATTTGAAGAGAATTAGGAAATAATTTTAACAGAATTAAAATTCTTTTTTTTAATTTAAGATACGAAATATAATATAATTGGACTTTTTGTTCGGATTGTTTGATTTTTTGATTTCTAAAGAAGCCAAAAATTCAAATTGCCCAAAGACAAAAATTTTTTTAAAAAATGTCTAAAATTTGCTAGAAAGTAATTCGCGAAAGAGGCAAAAGTCAAAAATTCGAAATGGCTATAGAGAACACAGTTTTTCTCAGGATATCAAAATTGAGACCAAAAAGCAAATGAAAAGTGTTGCGAAGCAACATTTTGATTCGTTTTTTGTCTCAATTTGAAAAATTCAGATTTGTCTCTACTGCCTGTAGATGATTTAGTAAAATTTTAGTTTGAAAGCGTCCCAAGCACCTTTTTTTTAATCCCAATTTTTCAAATGATTATATTACTAATATTATTAATATTATTGTAAGTATTTTTAATATTGTAAATATTTTTAATATTATAAATACTTTTAATATTGTAAATATTTTCAATATTGTAAATACTTTTAATATTGTAAATATTTTCAATATTGTAAATACTTTTAATTTTGTAAATATTTAAAATATTATCGTAAATATTATTAATATCATCATTATTATGAAATTCTACATAATTATTATAATATAAATATTATGTACACATATGTATCGAATAGCGTGATTGGTAATAAGTGCGCACTTTGGTGATAATCAACTATAAAGAGAGAGGGGTGTTGCTCATCGCACGGCATTCTCGGGGGTCAACGACTCAATGAAAAACGGCGCTATCTCGAATTTGTTCAAGAATTTTTAAGACTTCAAAGTCCGTGTGATATCGTTCGCGTATATTATTGCTTCCTTGTTTTCTATGGGACAAAACCGCGAGCCGCACGAAAGCTTCGAACCCTAACTCCAATAATGTTACTGTGAGATGGGACTCTAGTATTATGTACATTATATGTTTATATAAGAAGGAAAACAAAAAAAAAAGTTGTAAATTTATAGAAATAGTTGTAAACATTCCCTCGACTACTATTCTTAAAACGAAAAGAAATAAGTGAAAAAAGAAAATCATTTTTTTTGAAAATTATGCCATTCTTGTTATTCTTATTACTTTTACTATACTGTTCTCATTTTTCTTCTTGTGCTGTTTCTTATTCTTTTTATTGTTTTTCTTATTCTTTTCTAAAACAATTTTTTTTATTTCTTTATTCTATTTTTTATTCTATTTCCTATTTTTTCTATTCTTATTCTTTCTCTTTCTTTATTTTGATGTTTATTATATTTCTCATTCTTACTTTTTTTCCTTATTTTTAATTATTTTTGTTAATATTATTTTTATTATTCTTATGTTGATGATTGTTATTATTTTCGAGAATAGTAGTCGAAGAATGTTTTGTGTGAAAAGAAAATTAAGAAAAATAATTTCTCGATGCAAGCGTGACCCACCACCGTATTACTATGTATATACAACTCATTGAGGAATTGTTTGACAAAAATTCAACCAAATGACAATAAAAGTTTTGGAAAAAATGCAAAAGAAATGTTGATTTTTCAGTTAATTTGAAAGTATATAAAAATTGGTGCTGACAAACAACATGTTGGTGGACCAAAAACTGTCAAATTGGTATCAAAAAAGCAAAGTTTGACCAAAGACTATTCAATTGGTACCGAAAAATACCAAATTGATACTAAAAATTCCAAATTGAAACTACAAATTTTAAAATTGCTACAAAAATACCTAATTAAAACTAAAAAAACCAAATTGATACTAAAAATTCAAAAATTGATACTAAAAATACCAAAATGATACTAGAAATTCAGAATTGAAACTAAAAATTTCAAAATTGATGTAAAAAATACCAAATTGATATTAAAAATTTCAAAATTGATCCTATAAACAGCAAATTGATACTAAATATTTAGAATTTCAAAATTGATGTTAAAACTACAAAATGGAAATCAAAAATACCAAAATGATAATAAAAATTGTAAATTTCAAAATTGATATTAAAAATACCAAATTCAAATTAAAAATACCAAACTGATACTAAAAATACTAAATTGATATTAAAATTTCAAAATTCAAACTGAAAATTTCAATATTAATGTAATTAAAATAAAAAATACTAAATTGACACTAAAAATACAAAATTGATATTAAAAATTCAAAATTAAAACATAATATTTCAAAATAGATTTTTAAAATAACAAATTGAAATCGAAAATACCACAATGATACTAAAAATATCAAAATTGATATTAAAAATACCAAATTGACACTAAAAGTGTCAAATTGATACTCTAAATTTCAAAATTGATACTAAAAATACCAACTTGATACCAAAATTTTCAAAATTAATACTGAAAATACAAAACTGCAACTAAAAATGCCAAATTGACACTAAAAATTTCAAATTTCAAAATTGAAATCAAAAATACCAAATTGATACTAAAAATTTTTACATTGATACTAAAATTTCAAAATTGAAACTAAAATTTTAAAAATTAATATTAAAAATACGAAATTTAAATAAAAAATACTAAATTGATAATAAAAATACCAACTTGATATTAAAAATTAAAAATTAAAACTAACAATTTCAAAATTGATGTTAAAAATGTCAAATTGGAATAAAAAAAAATACCAAATTGATACTAAAAATTTCAAAATTCATACAAAGAATACCAAATTGAAATTAAAAGTGGCAAATTGATACTAAGAATTTCAAAATTAATGTTAAAAATACGAAATTTAAATAAAAAATACTAAATTGATACTAAAAATACCAAATTGATACTAAAAATTTCAAAATTGATACTAAAAATACCAAATTGAAATGAAAAATGCAAAATTGATACCAAAAATTTCAAAATTGATAGTAAAAATTCCAACTTGATACTAAAAATTCAAAAATTGATACTAGAAATTCAAAATTGAAACTAAAAATACCAAATTGATACTAAAAATTTTAAAATCGATACTAACAATACTAAATTAAAACTAAAAATACCAAATTGATAGTAAAAATTTCAAAATTTTTAAATTTGATGTTAAAAATACCAACTGGATACTAACAATTCGGAAATTGACACTAAAAATACCAACTTGATACTAAAAATTTCATAATTGATGCTAAAAATACCAAATTGAAACTAAAAAAATATACCAAATTGGTATCAATTGAACCCAAGAGTATCAAATTGATAACAAAAATACGAAATTGATACCAATTGAGACCAAAAAGAACCAAATAATTCTTTTTGGTAACAAAAATGTATCAAATGGATACCAAAAAGTATATCAAAATTAACTGAAAAAGTTTCTAATCATTGAAGACTATTGATATCATTCTTCCACCATTTGCTTTAATTTTAATAAAATCTCATCGGTTAAATTTTCGTCAACAATCAATTTCCCATTGATAGACGGATATTAATAATTGCATTGATGTTTTGTTATTAATAAGAAGAATGATAGTTTAAAATGCCCATTGCGAGAATAGATAGATGAGACGCATTGCGAGCAAGATTATAAATATCCAAAGAGATTGGAGGGAAAAATTAAAGAAAAAAATTGAAAATTTTATCAATAATTTTTTCCCATTCTCTTTGAATTTCATTTTTTTTTATTCTTTTTTTTTCATGTCTTGCTCGCTAGACGTTCTACTTCTCTTTCATTTTTTTAAAACTGGAACCTGCTCTCGAGTCATTGTCACTCATTGAGTTGAAAAATGCGGTAACGATCTTGGACGTCGGATTTGGTACATACATGACTGACCTTCGACGTGTGGGTCCGGAGGCTGGATTCCGTTGCGAAGCCCTTGCCGCAAATGTTGCAGTGGAACGGCCGATTCTTCGCCCGTTCCACCTGCGCGTCATGATTCCGCAAGTGCTGTTGGAGATTCGACAGCTGGATAAAGGCCCGCCCGCAATCAGGAAGGTGGCACTTATAGGGCCGTTCACCTGCAATCAGAACACCTTTGATTAGAGCCGGCTAAGCTCTGTCATTACACAAGTTTATGCGGCTGAAAAAAGTTTCTCACAAAATTAATCATCTTTCCTATTCATATATATATATATATATATGTGATATCTAATGCAAAATTAAAATTAACAACAATTCAAATAATAATTTTCCTATTATTAATAATAATAGTTGGAAATTATAAAACCAACAAACAAATTAATTTAAATATCTTTTATTTACACAATTTATAACTTCCAGAAATATTAAATTAATAATAATAATAATAATAATAATAATAATAATAATAATAATAATAATAATAAATAATCATAATAATAACAATAATAATTAAAAATATATTAATAATAATAAAAATAATAATAAAATATTACTGTCTAAATTTTAATTAGTAAAAATATTTACTAATTTTAAATTAGTTGAAAGATTAGAATCTTTCGCTTTTGAATTAGTAAATCGTTACTAGTAAATAGTAATTTTTTACTAATTTATTAATAAAACAATAACAATAAATAAAATAATAATAAAATTACAAATAACTAGCAATTTTTACTAATTTATTAGTAAAAATACTAATAAATAGTATTTTTTACTATTTTATCAGTAAGATTAAAAATAAATAGTAATTTTTACTAATTTATTAGTAAAATTACAAATAAATAGTAATTTTTTTCTAATGTATTAGTAAGATTACAAATAAATAGTAATTTTTACTAAATTATTAGTAAAATTACTAATAAATAGTAATTTCTATTAATTTATTAGTAAAATTACTGATAAATAGTCATTTCTACTACTTTATTAGTAAAATTTACTAGTTCTATTTACTTCTATATTGCATTTATCATTTATTATTTACTAATAAAATAATAATAATAGTCAATTTTACTAATAAATTAGTAGAAATTACTATTTATTAGTAAAATCTACTGATTCAAGTTGAGAGAGTAAAAAAATAGTGATAATAGTAAAAAAAAGAATAAAAATATAGATAATGTTAATTATGCTAATAATAATGAATTAATTTTACTGAATAAAAATAATGATATAAAATTTGATGACACACAATTTAATGATATAATTATAATACAGTTTATTAATTAATAAAAATAATATTGTATAATTAAATATAATTGTAATTAATTGTTACATTCATTAGTTATAATTATAATTAATTATAAATAATTTGTTATAATTATAATTAATTACAAATAATTAGTTGTAATTATAATTAATTATAGATAATTATCACAGTTTTTCTAAGGATATTAAATTAAAACAAAAAAAACGAATCAAAAATATCGCGAAGCAAAGTTTTCATTCGTATTTTGTCTCAATTTGAAATTTGAGACAAAATACGAATTAAAAGTCTCAAATTTGATATCCTTAGAAAAACTGTGATAACATTAATTAATTATAATGTATTGAAAAAAAAAAAAAAAAAAAAAAAAAACTTTTAATAATGATATAAACATTTTGGTTGAATTATTTTTGATGGCAAAGGAAAAGTATTTGCGAAAAATTGCCAAGTTAATGAAAAGTCTGTTAATAAATTTTCGTCATTGAATTTTCGTTCATTCTTTCTTGTAATAAACAAAAGTTAAAGTACAATAGTTGCTTTAAACTTGGAAATAAAGATATATAGTTGTTCGCAGTGTCTAATGCGACAGGAACATACTAATCTGCAAGTAAAAGGAAAAGTATTTATTTAAGAAATTAGCGTTAACGTTTGTTTATAGAAATACGTTCTCTTCGAAATTATTTTAAGTCATTTTTGTCAAATACATATTGAAAAAATTATTTCTTTTTTAATATTTCTCTTTTAAAAACAAAAAAAAACAAATTTTCAATTTTTTAATTCTTAGAATCAAAAAATAATCTCTAAACTTGAATTAGTGAAAAGTTCATTAATTAGTTATAGTAATTTTTATTAATTCCTTGTAATTTTCTGCACTAGAATTTTGGTAAAACAAAATTAAACTATGATACTTAATGAAATTGTGGAATAAAAATTTAAAACAAAAACTAAAAACATTTAACATAAATGCAAACTAATTAAAATTAGTGTACTTTTCACTACTTTAGATTTAGAGATTTACCAGTAGAAACATTATAAAAATTATTTGTTCGTCTTAAAAAAACTATTCACATGAATTATTTACACATTCAATTTAATTAATTTAAAACGAAATTAATTCTGCGCGAAAATAATTGAAATGAAATTAATTCAGATGAAAATAACTATAAAATAAAATTATGTAATTCAGAAGAAAATAACTATAAAATAAAATTAATTCAGATTAAAATTAAATAATTTTAAATTGAAATTAATTTAAACGCAATTAATTTGGATTAAATAAATTTAAATTAATTTTTAAATCAAGTTAATTAAAACGAAATTAATTAGGATTAAATTAATTAAAACAAAATTAATTATGATTAAATAAATTCGAATTAAATTATTTCAAAATTAAATTAATAGAAATTAAATTAAATGGTTCAATTACTTTTAAAAGCAATATAATTGAATTTTTGTTATGATATCGAAACTATAAAATACAAAATGTTTTAACAATGTCTTAAACTAAAATTACATCTAAATTATCATATATCAAAATTAATTAAGTTACGACTGTACATTTTAGAGATCCTTTACGCTCCTTTCCTGTTGGTATAAATCAAACAAACAGAATAAAAGTAAATTTTACATATTTTTGCAGATAATGATCGATCTGTAATTAAATAAATTGCTAATTAGTGATTATGTATCATTATTATTAATATTACTATTGTTTTTATTACTATTATTGCTATTGTAATTATTATTATTATTATTATTATTATTATTATTATTATTATTATTATTAATTATTATTATTATTAATATTATTTATTATTATAATTAATATTATTTATTATTATAATTATTATTAGTAATAATTAGTACTAATAATAAATATTAGTAATAATTATAATTATTAATATTATTATTATTTACTATTTTTATTATTATTTTATTATTATTACTATTTTTTTTATTTTAATTCAATATAAACGAGAATTGCCCTTAAAATAATTATCATTATTGTAAATAAAACTTTAAGGTTAATTTTGACTCGAAGTGATTATTAACCTCAAAGTTTTATTTATAATTAAGACTACCGAATGATAAAGTCAGAAAATTACAATTATCATTATTATTATTAATATTATTATTATTATATTACTATTATTGTTATTACTATGATTTTTAATACAATTAATATTTTTTACTATTGTTATTTAAACAAATAAAATAAAAATAAATAAATTATTATAAATATAATTATTATTATTATTATTATTAATAGTTTCGGTCATAAAATTTCTTTTACGTCAATTATGGAAAAATTACAATGAAGGAATATTGTCAGTATATAATTATATATAGTACTGTAGTTGCCCGATTTCTAAATGTTTTGTATTCGCGTAAAGAAAATCGTAAATTTTTTATTTATTTTTTTCCTTTTTCTTTGATTCCGCGAGCGGCCCTTGTAGAGTCTCTCTTTCTCTCTCCCGGCGGCAATGGACTCGATTGTAATTTCCACAAGCGATTGGCTCAATTTAACTTTTATTAATATCGACATTCTTCCCAGAGCTTTTTTACCCCGGGCAACTCAACGATGCCGGACGATTCATCTTTTATTCAATCGCCGATTCATCTGAGAATTTCTCTCATCCTCATCTCGCGAGGGACAAAGGGGGAGGTTTACGGAATAAGGGATGTTTTCTAATTTTTTAATAAAAACAATTCATTTTTTCCGCTTAAAAAAAAAGAAAAAAAAAGAGAGAGAGAGAGAAGGAGTATATATATATATTACGTTTTCGATATTGGAAATTGGAGAGAAAAAAAGGAAACAGGGAAAAAAAGAGATAGAAGATAGGATAGGAGAAAAAGGTAAGAAAACGAAAAAGGATAAAAACGATGGAAACGTATAATACTGTTATTAAAAATATCGACTTGTAGGCGGTAAAACGAAGTCACGTAAGAAATGTTTTGCGTGGCTTACAATACTTATATATATGTATATATATATATAAAGTTCACTGTCTACTTCTGCTGAGAAGAGCCTCGGGTGATCAATAATCCTGAAACGTTTAATTCCACAGTTATAAGCGATTTTTCATATTCTGTAAATGGAATTTTCAACCTCCCTATAATAATTACTAGTTTTTTCATTCTTCATTGTCAAAATTACCGAGCGCAATATTTTTTTTTTTTTACTTCCCACTACATTGTATTCCTATTATTTATTTGGATTTTTCATGCTCTCTTTCCATATCCGTTTTAAAATTATTATTATTTAAATAATAATTATCTATTTTTTGTAAAATACAAGTAGAGAAAATTCTAAACAGGAGAATATTAATTTTTAATCACCCCATACATTGTAGGGATTATTATCAATTAATACGATCAAGTTGGTGTAATTATCTCCGACTTGTATTTATGTTCAAGAGTATTTTGTACTTCGATTTTCCAGTTTATTATTTATTAAAAAATAAATTTTATTATTTATAAAAAAATAAATTTTATTATTTATTAAAAAATAAATTTTATTATTTATTAAAAAATAAATTTTATTATTAATTATTTTTAAATATTTTTGTTGTAGAAAATTTTTATTTTATTTTGGGACTAAATTTTGATTCATTGAAATCTCAATTTTTCTAAAGATATCAAATTGAGACAAAAAATGTCTCCAAATTTCAATTATCTTTACAATTAATAAAATTCTACTCTAAAATTCAATTATTTTCAAAAGTTTTAATAAAATTCTTAGCAAAATTTCAATTATTTAATAAAAAAAATTAATAAAATTCTACGCAAAAATTTAATTAATTTCAGAAATAATAAAAATTGCAGAGAATTTCAATTATTTTTAATATAATTTTAATCGAATCTCTCAAAAGAATTTAATTTTTCTTCAAAATGGTATTAAAATTCGTCCAA